TTGAACCTATATGGGATACGATATGCATAGTAAAGACTAACTTTATTTATTCATATTGGATTCAATTTCAAGGGTAACGTATGGGGAGGCAAAGGAGTATGAGATTTGGTTGAACGCCGCAAAAATCCTGAAAAAAGAATTGGATAATATTGTTGATGTTGGATTGGCTGCTGGCGGAGATATGAAAATGGAAATTGATGAAAAAGAGGAGTTTATTTTGTAAACTGTTTATCATAGAAACATTTTTAAAATGCAAATATTTTCAAGAGAAAAAGTTTTTTAGACCGCAAGAAGCAATTGTGCAAAATATTAATAATATTAATGATGAAATGTTTATTTATTAAATATTTTACAAATATCAAAAAGTATATGATTTTTTACGAAATTTTTTTATCCCAAATTGATAACTGGTTTTTTAAGAATTTTTTTTTTTTAAAATTATTAATCAATATTTGTTATAAACAATTCAAAAATAAAAATAAAAAAAATAATTACTTATAAGTAAATACACAGTATATTTTAATGATAATAAATAATATACGGTATATAGTTATTTTAAAATTGATGAATGCACATATGTTTTATCATAAAGTAAATCAAAAATACAGTGTATGTGTATAGAATTTATATAACTTTTAATTTTTTCAAAAACATCTTTATTATTATAATTAAATTCTTAATTACTTGAGATATAATGAATCAAGAAGAAAAAAATATAAATATAAATATATTAGAATTTGAGAAAATGATGATTTAAAAATAACACAATAATTCATTAATTTATCAAATATACATATACAGTATATTGTATTTATTATTTTATTATTATTTTATTTTTCACAAATTATACAGTATTTATTAAAATTAATTATTTGATTATTTGATTTGATTTGATTTGATATTTTTTATTAAATAAAAAATTTAATAGTTATTTTATTTACGTTTTATGCACATTTAAATAAATGATTATATCGTCGTCTATCAAGTTTATTATATGGTTGTGTCAAACAATCCAGAGCCGGGTTCTAACTCCAGGGGATGTATTATCCTTTCCAGGAAAAAAAAAAAATCTAAATTCAGTATCTATGGAGTATTTACAAGAATTAAGATAATGATTCCTCAAAGAATCCATTTTGCAATTTCCTTTTACCAAAAATCTAATTCACTCAACGGAATTATAAAGATTCCATAATTCTCACGCATCATCTTCAATTCCAACAATTCTTTCTCACTATATTCCTGTTTCCCTCCAACTCCTATTACCCTTAAACTCTTTTGTGACTTCGCAAATTCCGAGATTACTTTTAAATGCGCTAGTTCCACTTTAAAATATTTCACTATCAGAATTTTCAATTCACACTTGCACCCGTATAATAAATCCTCTAACTGTTTCACGTCCACCCCACAATCTAGTTTTAAATATTTTAGTTCTTCCGGGAGATCTTGCCCTATAAGGTTGATGACACCTGGCCCAACGTTCATTTCTCTAGAAATAGTTAGTCTCTCTATGCGCGTCTCCTTTAACAACCTTACCAGAAAGGGATGTTGTTTCGGCAAATAATCCAATATTCTAACATCAGTCACTATCGGACAATAGTTACTAATAGCATGAATAGTTTCCAATGATAACACATCCACCCACAATTTCTTAACGGTTCTCCCCACGTGCTTAATTATTGTCGCCGTCACACCGGGAGATTTACGGGACGACCATAACCGCAATTCTCGCAATCGATACTTGGAACTCACCAGACTCTTGGCCTCATTCATTGAAAACCCCTGACAATTCCAGAGAGTCAGCGATTTCAAGGTCTGGCATGCACTCAAGTACCTTAAGCTGGCACCGGAGAGATTTACCGAATTGAACTCCAAGGTACGTAAGCTCTTGAACTGACATTGTAAGGAGGAAAAGAGCTTTTCAATGACCGAGTTTCCACCCTTGAGATGAAATTCTCGTAAGTTCATTTGCGATTTAATGATGTTTGACAGACTATCCCCTATCATTATATCGCTTTCCAAATCCGTGGCTTCATTCCCAATATCTGCTGCTGGCGGAAACGTAATGCTGAGATTCCTGATACTTGTGCAGATAGAAGGTAATGTTTGGAGTAGCAGGAGAAAGTTAGGTGTTTTGTGAAAAATCAATTCAAATTTTTCGACTCGTGATAAGCAAGCGGGTATAGAGAATACAGATGTTCCGGGAATATCGGTAAACTCGAGAAATTTATCGATAGTTAGTGTATGGAGGTTAGTGGCTTGGCGAAGAAATAACTTAAATAGAGTAGTAGTGAGAAATTCTATTTGGAACTTCATATTATTGCCCTTATTTTTGTTATTTCTTTTACTTAATGATCTTAATAAAATGATAACAGCATGTTCCAAATTCCGCAGAGAAAGATCTTGTAAATAGGTCGCATAGTGATAGTATGTGGAACGGAATTTGGGCTTTGGAAATTTGACTTTTGCTGTTTTCAACGCATTCTTCAGTATTTTCCTTTCATTCTTTTCTAAGCATAATAGGTAGACCAACAAAAGTTTTGTGATGCTTCTTGATGGCGAATTATCATCTTGAACTGTTTGATTTTGTGAAAAATGACTTTGGGATGAGGAACGATTTTGTGAAAAGTGACTTTGGGATGAGGAACGATTTGAGGGCAGATAATTCTGTGATGAAGCGCCGCTTTGTAAATAATCATTATTAGAAGACAAATTCCATCGTCGAAAAGGGCATTTCCACAACACCGGGATAACATTTCTGCTCCAGAATTTATTTATGAACAAACAAGAATGAAGCGCTCGGTTATCATCGGTGAGAAATAAGAATACATGTTGAAGACATTCACTGTTAAGGATTTGCTTCGAACCAGAGGTGGATACTTTTTGCACACTTCTTGTGCCAAAGAAACGAAAACAAAATGGGCTTTTTTTCATTATAATTAATCCCTTTTTTTTAAATGATAGCTTAAGGTGACGGGGTGGATTCTTGGTCTTGTTAATGTCATCTAATTGCATGAACAGGTATTTTATGATGCGTGGTAAATTTCAGGTGACACAATCCGCAAAAGAACTTGCGCAAAGACTAAGCAAGGTATTACCACACACTCATGTTTTTATTGGGACAGACGTCATTCTTGTTCCTCCGTAACCACCTACTACCTTTAAACGGCGGTGGCGATCAAACATTTAGACGCCACAATCTCTATTTAAGATATCATTACTTCGGCACACTGGATCTTTTTTTTTCCCATGAATCAATTATTTTCTTTCGTATTAATGATATGTATGTCTGTTTCTATGGCTCTTATTTTGCATTTCCTTTTATAGAAAAGCTATTGTTTGACAAAAAGCCCTCGTCGTTAATTTTAAAATATAAATATCTTGGCAGAATTAATTAAACTAAAAATAGATTCGAGCGTGATTTCTTTATTATTCTGGCTGCAGCTTATAGTTTAAAGACCTCTCATGAAAAATGAATAATTCGATAGCTTAATACTTCGTACGAAAGCATTACCTATTGCTTGATTTTACATTCAATTCGATCCAATATTGAAAATCTTTTCGTTAACATTACTTGCAAACGTTTTATTGGTCTTTGAAATAAGGTTTTAATAAATTCGCACCTCACGAAGAAATATCAGGTAATGCGTGATCCAACCTTTCATGCATATTCCTGCAATATCCAGTAAGGTACCCTTAAGTACCCTGAAGGTACGATATGTGTATTATTATTAGTTTTTAGCATATAAAAGCGTTACTAAACTTACCATAAGAAAAAATGACGTATCTCTCTGATCATAGGTTTTCGTTTTCAAAGAAATTATAAAATAATATACACCGTATATGAAAGGATCTTTCTTTTATTTAAATACCTATACTAAGACTTTATTAATAAATTACCATGTAAAAACGTAATCATCCCCATTAAAAAAGGGGGACCGAACAAGTCCCGGACCAGTCCCGGGCCGTAGTCCCAGCATTATATTTTATATCTCCGACAAGTAACCCTAGTTATAAAAAATCATCTTGGGACTGATTAAGATCGATAACAATCTTAACTAAAGTTGATATTGCGTAATTGGCACTGCGCCATAGTTAAAAAACGGAATCTACTAGAAGCATAAACAATGGAAAAAAAAATTTTTTTTTCCCAGGCACGTGTAAATGTACGGTTCATTTGCCTTTTTTATAATATTACGCACATAGCTTAAGATATTACGCGTATTACGTACAGGAGAAATCTTCCCACTAGTTAACGTGTTTATCTCTAATATAAAATGGGCGGGTTTTAGCGCTTCTAAAAAATTAAACCGACATAACCTTTCCTCTCTACGGTTCAAGAAATCCTTGCCTAAGGACCTCGTTCGTCTTCCTTTTAGATATTAGATCCTTCCTTTTCTAAACGTTCTTCGTAAGAAAAAAAAAAACCCCCCTTTCTTTATACCATACTTTTTATTTCGTCGAGTCCATGGTATATGGGCGAGCGACGTGATAGCTTTGTATTTCCAGGTCGTCGTGACTATCAAGTCGGCATACAACCTTGGTACCTTGTCTGCGCGTTGCGAAAAAGTCGAACGTTACGAATTTATTATTTTTTTTTCGACTTTTTTTATTTAACTCGACTTATTACTTCCCTTTTCGTTTATTTCGTCGAGCCCCGTGATGTCCAATGACTCTGCAAGAGGAGTCTGTCAGTTCTCTTTTGAGACGACATTAATAGGGCCAGTGATGTATAGCGATGTTATGCAAGTTTTGTCGTGACTAGAGACGATGCCATTCCTCCTCAAAGAACCAGCATCGCGGACTGTAGATTCACCCATAGATTCACGAATAAGCATTCCTCCTCAAAAGATCAGCATCACGACCTGTAGATTCACGTATCAGCTAAACAACCTACTACCACCGACGGCTATGACTCTTCTAGTTGGATACATCTCTTTGATAACTTCGTCTATACATTGCGAAAAAGTCGAGCAATTTTCGTTTGACTTTTTATTTTTTTTTAAATCGATTTTTTTTTCAGGGGGTTTTTATTTTCTTTGAGAGGAAAGTGAGATTAAATTGAGATAAGGTGCGCGAATTCAAAAGAATAATTATAATCTTTTGCAAGGAGCCGCCAAATCCTACATTTGTTCGAAGAAAAAAATTTTTTATCGGTAATTTTTTTATTGATGTTTTTATCGGTAATTTTTTTATTGATGTTTTTTTTATCGGTAATTTTTTTATTGGTTTTTTTTATCGGTAATTTTTTTATTGGTTTTTTTTATCGGTAATTTTTTTATCGATAAAGAATTTTTTATTTTCATGAATATTTATTTTATTAATTTTGTCATAAATTTCATTAAATTAATATGGAACAAACGTTTAATTCTTTGACATTAAAAAAGTTATATTGAGTTTTGACGAGAATAAAATATTTGTAAATGTTTGTAATAAATACATTAATAAAAATTAAATGGTTTATCTATTCTAGTTTACGTATAAAGATTAAATAACTTCGCGTATAGTTAAAATAAACTTGGTAAATTTGATAAGTCGACCGTGAATAAACTATAAACCACTACAAATACTATAATAACGCAGATATTGAAGTCAACCCTCGAAATTGAATCCATTCGCGCTCCACCTCGCACGAATCACAATTTAAAAAAAACCGGTTTGATCCACTAAGAATATTTTTTACGAATTCACAATTCCCATACGTGATCTCATAATTATGACAACCAACGGGCCAGCGGATGGTGGCACTCATCAATTAAATTATGGATTCGTTGTATGATTCGTGGCATTTTTTTTCTCTTCTGGATCGAACGAGATTAACTTTTGTTTTGTATGCAGCTATCAATTGTCAGATCTCGTACGAACGTAGTTTCCTAGGGTCTCTTTTATCCAGAGAAGTTCTTCAGTTGTGAAGCACTCATCGTTCAGGTAGTACTTTCATATCGATAATTCCATTGTTCTGTATATCTTAAGATCCTTGTCGTACATCCATCTCACAGTTTCCATCCTCTTTCTTATCTTTTCTCTTTCTTATCTTTCATGTTTTTGATGTCTCTTTGTCATTTCCGGTTTCCAGTTGATCTGAGGTAACGATTAATAATAGGTTTTTGGTAAGCTCTCAATAATTTCGGTAAGATTGTTCCAAAATGAATGTGAAGTACATGTATTTTCAATTGAGACCTGACCTGATGTTTCTGATGAATTTGTGGTTTGGATATTTCTGTCTGAGGTACTCGCATTACCTATCAAGGTCCTCTTTCCGTTTCTCTGAACCAACTCACTCTTCCATAATGGATCTTTTCTTTTCATTTATCCTTTCCTGAAAAAATTTCTTATGGTTTCCAATCTCTTGTGTTTTACGATACTCTGTTATTGACATTATCCTGCTCATATATACAAAAATATGACTTATTTATACTTTATAAAGAATATTGATCATCAACTATGATATAATATTGTATTGTTTAAATACTGTTTTCAAAAAATAATTAAGGAGTGATAAAAACAGAAGAAAATAATCTTTTTCAATTCATTTGAATTTTTATTTACGTATATGATTTTTTAATCAAAACTTTTGAATCACAATATAAAAAAAAAAATTTCTTTTTTAATTACCATTGCACTTTCAAAAAAAAAACTTGAAACAAGATACAAGTGAGATGTAAAAATAGGTTAATAAAAATAAATCAAAATATAAAATTTCGGAATATAAAATAAATTTTTTCTTTATATTAAATTCTAATTTAAAAAAAAAATGATGATTTAACAAATTAATTTTATATTAAAACTATTTTGATATATAAATTAATTAAATATAAATTTCTATAATTTCTTTTTTTATTAAACAGCATTAGATATATTATTTTATTATTATTTTATTAATATAATATTAAATTTTAATTGAATATTTTTATAAACTATAAATTTATAAATAATTAATATATATAAATTCATTCAAAAAAAAAAATACAACAATAAAACAAAATATATAATAATCAATTATCTAATTATATTATAACTTGTATACATATATGTTTATTAATAAGAATAAATCTAATATCTAATATATATTAAAAATGAATGTGTGTAACCTATATGTGTAACGCTGACGTTTAGTTTATCCTATATAAATAAAAATTTACTCATTAGAAAATTATAACAGATCAAGTTAAAAAAAAGTGTGTAACCTTTGCTAATGATTAGTTTACAGATCAAATCAAAAATAAAATTTCGCGTCTTCCATG